TGTGGTACATGGAGCTATGAATTCTGCTGTCTACCAAAACATCATGAAGGAGAATGTCCAGCCATCTGTTAGTGACCTCAAGCTGAAGCACACTTGGGTTCTGCGGCAGGACAATAATCCAAAACACACCAGCAAGAAAAACAAAATGAGGACTTTGAAGTAGTCCAGAATACTGACCTGAATCCAATTGAGGTGCATGACCTTAAAAAGGTGGTTCATGCTCGAAAACCCCCCCAGTGTGAGTGTGAATTACAAGAATTCTGCATGGATGATGAGTGGGTCAGAATTGCTCCACAGCGCTATGGAAACTCATTGCCAGGTATCACAAACTCTTTTTTGCAGTTGTTGCTGCTAAGAGTGGCCCAACCATTTATTAGGTTTAGGGGGTGTACACTTTATTAATAGTGACAAACATACAAAAACCAGGAAATCAGGAAGGCGGCAAAGACTTCTTTCACCCCACTGTACATCACCCCTAACAAAATTGTCTGTGATACTATCCTGAGTGGATGCAGTAATATATTATACACAGGTTACTTTCATGTCAAACAGGCAAAGTGAACTTCATGTATGCTTAATTTCTTTAAAGGAAAGCAGTAGTAACATCCGTGACAACTAAACTGTTTGCACATAACTGCCTATGCATATGTAGAAGCCCAGGTTACCCTCAGGATCCTCAGCATACACAGTGACTGTGCTGAAAATAACACTGAGAACAGCAGCCTGGGGTTCAAATGATCAATAGTGCATTGGAAAACGAGCCCCTCCAATGTACTGCTGTAGCCATTTTCTGCTGGATTCATTCCTCATGCTGTGGCTGTGCCGTCTCTGAAATCTGCTGTGTGACATCACCAATCAAAACAAATTGCCAGCACTGTGGGATTAGCATTTTAGCAGGTTATGGTGAGGGTGTTCAGTCTGTGTGGGCAGGGTTAGCAGAATACTTAACATTGTTTGCTAATCCTGAAGCTGTACTCCAATGAATGTCTGTCACATCATGCAGTATATGCACACTCAAATGCACCGCCGACTGGTGCCGCTCACTCCCACCAGTAAAGGTCAGCGTATGTATAATGGAGCACATGCAAGTCACCTCTCACTCAAATGACCCTTCAATAATTTTATTATTCTTACCCCTCAGCCATAAAGGGAGGATGGGCTGTTTTTGTCACCTCGCCAGTTGGGCAGGCAGGCAAAGTGAAGCATTTGTGAACTAAATGTCAACAGATTCACAAATTACCCACAATGCCACAGCTCATTTTAGCGAGTGGGACTGGTCCCTTCATGTCAGATTAGCTTGTTGTGGATGCTAACAAGCAAATACAACAGGCAGACAGCTGGCATCCATAACTCCTAACTAATGGATGTTTGGTGCCACATTTGTTTCTGAGTACAATTTTTAAAAAGTCTGCATGTATCGTAAATCTAAACTGCAAGGTGGGGCAGGATCCCTGTGTTACCTACAGCTGTACGTGTACAGAGTTGGAGCACTGCAGCTATACACAGCGTGGTGTGTGTGTGTGTGTGTGTGTGTGTGTGTGATGATGGAAGACTGAGGTAGTCAGAACATGCCAGCTTGATATTTTTAGACAGTTCAGGTGATCTCGCTAATGAGACAAAGCTCAAAGGAGCTGGCGCCTGAAGTAAGTGAGTGTGTGTGTGTGTGTGAGAGGGAGAGGAAGAGAGAGAGAGGGTGGGAGAGGCCATTTGTTGAATTAGCTGGGCAGTGTTGAAGTGTTCAGCGATTAAGTTTAATCCTTGAGTCTTGGTGATGTAAGGCCTGACGTCCCCCCCCCCCTCTCCTAATACCTCTCCTGCATGTTTGGTCCTTGCTTTTGAAAACCTGTTTTTGTGTTTGGGAGGAGGTTGATTGTGAGGGTAGGAGGGAATGCCCTGTCCATTAGGCTGTGTAAATACAGCATGTGTGGATGCATATGAGGACGTTTATTCGTCAGACCGGAAATGATGCATCATGTCTGTAGGGGAAGATAAAACGGAAGGGAAGAAGTGACAATATATGATAGTAGACGTGAGGCCAAAAACAAGTGCCCTAAACTGAATCAGTGAGGACGGTGAACTGAAACAATAGCTGCTTTTTAAAAGCTTTAAAGGGAATTTTGTGATGTCCAGTTTCTGATTTGTGTAAATAAAGTGTAGAGCGCTTTTTTTCTTTTGTCTGAACCAAAGAAGAAGCAGGCCTGTTAATACAAGACTGATTCAAAGGCATGTTGTACGATATATCGTACTCTGATTTAGGGCTGCCACAAACTATTATTTTGATAGTCGACTAGTCACCGATTATTTATGCGATTAGTCGACTAATCATATCGTGCATCCATTGGACGTAAAACGTACAGCTTATTGCACCAGCAGCATCTGCTCTTATATAACTATCATTAGCTTACAGCTTTAAGTGTTTAAGGTATGTGCTAACTAAAAATAAAGACAAGATGATAGTTTATTAAATTTTAATGAAATTTGCAGATTGTTTCGGTGAAGTTTAATAAACTCCTTGCTATCTAAAATATAACAGGACACCGGAGTATATTCTCCAGCATCTCACACTTCTGATAATCAGTGTCTGCTTGACGTTTATTCAGCTGTGTAAAAACTATAACTTTAATCTCAGCCAAACCGATTTACTCAGGAACAAATAAAATACTAAAAAAAAGCCAAACAATAACATTTTTAAGTTATCTAAGTGACTTATATCATGTTTAACCTGAGTAGCGAAAGACGGCGGTGGGTTTGAAAACGATTTGCCGGGAGTCCGGTGTTCTCACGGCTCTAGTGAGCCTTGAACCCCGGTTAGCTATCAAGCTGGTGGGTAACAGACGTCTCCGAAAACGTTGGAGCGCTTTTGAAAATATGTGGTGTCTTGATCACACACACAGGGATGAATGAGTAGTGACCAGAGGTGGATCGATATCAAACCCTAATCTTTAGAACTGTGCTCACTGGTTGATTCTGTTTTATATGCGACACATGCTCCTCACACAAGGCCTGAGGTGGTACCGCGGCTTGTCTACCAATCAGAAGGTTGCCATATGTCCATATGTTGAACTGTCCTTGAGAGAGATCCTGAATGCTGAGTTGCCCCTGATGTATCTTTCAGAGTGTGCGTGTGTGTGCAAGATTGTATGATAAAAGAATGTATGAATGTGTGTATGTGGTTGGCTGGGTGAGACTTGTGGTAGAAGTACAAATCCAGTATAAACCAGCATTTCTTCAGACTGACAGCTCATTTTGAGATGGTGGTTGATCATTTTGAAGATGGGCAATGGTCCATTTATTAGAACTTCAGACTCCTGTTGATAGATGTTGTTGATCAGAAGCAACTTTTCCATCATTTGGCCTGAGTGGAGCTGACAGTGAGTGAGTCTGGGCTGGATTTATGGCACAAGACACAAGCACATTGTTATGAAAATATAGCAGGGAAATAAGTGAATTTAAGACACATCTGTGTCTTACAGGACATGTGGGAGGGTGAGAATGAACGGCTTATATTTGTTTAGCCATCTATTTTTGCTCATACGTGATACTAATCTGTAAAGCCAAGATGCAAAGTCTTGAGTGTCAGCATTGCATGTGTACCGGTTTCTGTGGACAGTAGCTTGTTATACCTGCCAGTCTCGTGCCTTCATTTGTCTCCATCCCTAATGTACTGCTTCAATGTGTGTTTGATGGGAAAATGTCGCTGACATTCTAAGGACGGCAGAGTAGGGCCGTAACTGCCTCACCAGGCCTCCTGGAAGTGCCACAGTCCACTGACAGTCTCGTCTCTGTCGCTCTACACCATTCTTCACACATTGCTGATGGCCACAGAGGCTATTACCATGGCAACAGTGCCTCTCAACCCTGCAAGCCACATGGAAATGGTTTTTTTTTTTTGTTTTGTTTTTTTAACTCCCCCCACCCACCTTCTCTCTGATGATGTTTCGAGTCTTTATTCGATAACAGTGTGAGATGTCTGTCCATTGTTGGTGTGTTTGAGAGCGGCGCTGTACTTTTAGCCAGCTAATCTCCAGGGCCATTTTCTGTAATTATGAACTGTGTGTGTATGTGTGTTGGTACAGTTGTAAAGTGGTGAGGGGAATTGGTTGCTTTAGTGGCCTTTCTTAAGAATAAGACAGCTTCAGTCTTTCTTAAGGCTCATACAGTAAATACAGCTGCTTGGGTTTCAGCTCTGTGTTCTGCCAAGTGTTTACTGTGTGTGTGTGTGTGTGTGTGTGTGTGTGTGTGTGTGTGTGTGTGTGTGTGTGTGTGTGTGTGTGT